GGGGCCGCAAAGGGGATATAATGGGGGGAGTAAATGGGCCGACAAGTGCTTAAAGGGGTTTGAAGCGGGGGTGCCTTCGTTTGATTTTGTTTTTTGTCTTCGATTCAGTTATGACTTCTGAGGTGACCCTTGGCCAAACGCTGTTTGGGTTGCGATTCCGCACAACAACATAGTTTTCGTCCAGATTTTTGTTTTCTTTCCCCTAAAGGTTCCTTTTTTTTTTTCCGGTGCTAGGGCTTCCCGGGGCCCCACTGGGAGGGTCCTGCCCAGCTGCACGGCGCGGCATGTGTCCGGGCAGAAAATTTGCTCCGATTGCACGGGAGAACAGCGCACTTTTTTTTGTTTTTTTTTCTGTTTTTTCAGAGGCACCTGTCTGTTTCCCAGCTGTCTTGTTTCTGCGTGGCATTTCACACGCTGCAGCAAAATCGTGGGCACGACCTACTGGATGGAAAAGGCTGACGCCGCCAGGCAAGTGGCTTGCCACGAGCTGGTTTGGCAGGAAGTGGTGTGCGGCGAAAGTCCGTGCCAGGAAAGTGGGGCTCAGATGGACTGATGGTTTAAATGGAGGAATTCTAAAAATAGCTGGACGACCTACTGGATGGATACCATAATGACAATAAAAAAAGGCCTGAAAGGCCGTCCTGTCCAGATTTGACAGGTAATTGAATTGGTTGGGCCTAAAGAATTAGCCTTTAAAAAAAAAAAGAAAAAAAAAAAGGCTGGCGCCACCAGGCAAGTGGCAGGCCACGAGCTGGTTTGGCAGGAAGTGGTGTGCGGCAAAAATCCGTGCCAGGAAAGTGGGGCTCAGATGGACTGATGGTTTAAATGGAGGAATTCTAAAAATAGCTGGAAAGAGGGTCCATCGTCCTTACAACTTCTTCCCTCACCACGTTTCCCTCCGGTACAGCTGAGAGGACCTTGGAGAAGGAAGAGGGGATTTACCCCTGCTGTACGGTCCTGTACCCCTGTTCGTCCTATGCCTCTGTACCTGCTGGGGTTTTCTCTGAGATCATATCCCTGTGCTGCTACTTCTCTCAGCCTTATCAGGCGGCATAAACCGTCACTACCTTTCTCATATGTCCTTTCTCATATGTCGGCTGCAGGGTGGGTCCCACTCGTTTCGGAGGCCGGGGGCGTGGTCCCACTAGCAAAGAGGATAGGATCGAATGCCAGAATCTGGGCGATTTTATGGAGATGTGCAGGAAATCGAGATTGATCATTGAACTGCTTTTCTGCATTTCTGCTTAAAATACATCCAGATCCGAAGCTCGATCATATTCTTTTTGCTAGTTAGTGGGACCTCGGCCCGGGCGGCGATTTTTTCGGATGAGTTCGTTTTCCCAAATGGGATTACAGCTGCAAGAGGTTGTGGTGGTTTAAAGTTTTAGTTGGGCCCTAGAGCTGTTCAGATGAAACGGCTGTGGATTAAACCTCGGTACACGGCCCCACCCTTGCTGAAAAAAATGTCGTCGCCTGGTCGACATTCGCGGGGTTTGGGGGAGGCCCAGTACTTACTGACTGCAACGGAGGAGGAAGCCGGTGGGCCCGAAGGAAAAGTGGAAAATTGGACTGCAAGTCATGTTCCTGGTGGTGCATCCGCACACGTGGAAACACGTGCGGACTAGACACGAGGCAAAAGGAGGAAAAAAAAAACACAAATAAAGTTTGACCTGACAGGTGGCGGCCAGACAAAAGAATTACAAAAGGCTGACACCTGTTGAAAGGGCCGCCTGCCTCGTTTTTGGAGACAGGAGGTCTCCAGAAACGAGGCAGGCGCCTGTTTCAACGGGCACGTGGCTCGTTTCCTTTTCCTTAGGTGTCACCGTGTTTTCTTTCTTAACTTTGTTTGTTTGCATCTGCGCCCTTTTTTAGGAAAGGTACGGACGCAGCTTGAAAAGGGACTGCCTTGCCTCGTTGGCAGGGCGCGCGACAAACAGGAAAAAGACAAAAGAAAAACCTGCTGAGTTGTCTACATGGGTGCAGGCAACAGTGTCGAAAACCGTCTGCATCTGGCACTGTTATAAGCCCAGATACAGGTCGGGGTATGCAAGGAACTCCTTTTTTTTTTTTTCCCTTAAACCAATTCAATTCAATGCATTATGTTGCAAAAATTCAATCGAGGCCAGGGAACTCACAATTTAACCCGGGGTTATCTTGGCAGCATTAGCCATTTTCGCTTAGACTCTGCCCAGGCCAAAGCTGGAAGGAATCACATGTACCCACTGCTACAGACATTTAAAACTACATTGTCCTCATGAATGCTCTACCACCAACCATCAAGTTCTGCGCTCTACTCTTTTTCTTTTTGATCTGTTATTAACCTACTTAACCGTCACCCCCGCGTCTATTTCATATCTACCTTGACTACGTCAAACAGAGTGTTTTATTCTCTTCTCTCTCATCTCGCTCAGGTCAAATCCAGTCTTCCTAACCCCACCCCACTAATCTAATTTTACCAGACTACTGCTAAGTTCCAATACACACAGACCTAAAAAACGGTCTGAACCCGCGGCCTGTTTCGGCCGGGAGGACCTTATGACCTGACACTCTCCTCCCTACCCAACCCAATGCGGTCTGCTGTAACCGCCGACCGTAACCGAGTGTCCTGGTTCGTAAGAGAGAAAAAAACTGTGCCACAGGCCCTCAAAACCACACGAACCAAACTCTAAACTAACCTACCTATTCCCCCAAATCCTCCCTCACTATCTTACCCCTCTACCCAGTACGACAGGTGCAACCTTCCACCCTGATCTATCTCTGACAGGTGTCCGCTTCGGGCCCATGTTCCCTTGAACCACCCCAAGCCTACCACCGACCGCCCATTGTCTGTTTTCTTCCTCCAGTCCGCTCGGATTTCATCCCGAAGCAGAGACTTAAAACAATCTCTCCGCTTGGATGTCCGACATTGCTTGAGCCTTGAACCTCTGGTCATTCCTGTCCGGCCAAATCACCCCATCATTACCGCTTTGCACACTTGTGCAATGTAGCCCCACCCTCTGTCTGGTGCCGTTTCCTGTGGAAGGGGGTACCCAGCAAAACCCATCGTTCTCCAGTCAGGTCCCCTTGACTGGAAATTGCGTTCCAGACACCGAACCACCACTGCCACCATTTAGTTGATCTGGGATAGGACCACCACAGGTGATGCCAGGTTTCCAAGATCCAATTACATCTTCCGCACGCCTCCTTGACAGACATACCTCCCCTTCTTAACGACCTCGCCACTGGGACGACTTGATGTGATTGAAGCCACAGGAGTGATGCATACTTTTGAGATGGGATCTGTGCCAATTGAGACCAAAACTTGCTCAGTTCTTTCTCCTAGGGAGGTTGAATCTGAGGGAGGCTTCTCTCCCATCTCTCTTTCACTTCCCTCTTCAGCTTCTTCCCATCTCTTTTCCGTTCGGTACTTACTCCCGCTGTGAGTTTACACAGGTCCCAAATCTGCTCTTCTTTCTGTCACCATCCCCATTTTGTCTGATCAATCATCATACCCTCTATAGGCATGCCTCCATCTTGTAGCAGATATCTGTCGTACTTACAGCCCTGGTGGATTTTATTGTTTCCACTTTCATTTCCTGTAGTCCCGCCGTGCCATATCATGTAACATTGCCGGTCTGTGAGATTTCCGGAAGTCCCTCATGCTTGCTTCTGAACTCCAGGAAATGGGCTTTCCCTGGAGTGTCTTCGTCCCAGCTCTCCAGTTTCAGGAAAACACCTTCCTCTCCTGCCTGACGAAACCGAGTGTCCCGAGTTGGGATGCATTCGGGACCTAGCATAGCTGACCAGTCTTCTGGAATAGCTGCTATCAAATCCTGAATGCGTTCCTCTTGCATTGGTAGTTGTACCAGCTTAACTTTGATCTCTGCTGGCGACTTCCGCCGTCCCAGGGTAGAATTCCACAAGTCTCCTACCCTGCAGATTCCCCTCTGAATCCACTTCATCCCGTAGGAGCCAGGCTTCCTGTCAGCTGCAAAAGGAACACCACCTGTTGAATTGGTTAACTTTGGATTCTCGAAGAGGTGTTGGCTGAGAACCTCCGCCCGGGTGTTTGGGGCTGCTACCAGATTCGGTCGGCATTTCTGCCATGCTGCTAAGATGTCCCTCTGGAACTTCGATCTGATTCTCTTGTTGAGGAATGCCTGGATCATAACGGCTACCCACACGTCAGAGGCCCTCGACAGACCCCTTTGTTCGCAGAGGATTTCTTCTTCCAGGAAGCACCAGTCAGCTTGCCGGTCCATCGTGGTCACCCTGACCAACCATTTTGAGAGCAGCGTAAGATTTTGGGACTCAGGGTCAAGCAATGCCAGTCCTCCATCCCGGCGAGCGGTGCACAGGGTATCCCACGAGACCTTGGCAATATAGCCACTCTCCTTCGTCGAACCAGGTTTCCAATTGAAGCGCCGTGCAGTCGATCTCACTCCTTCTACCAGGCCTTTACTTAGCTTTCTGATCCTCACCATAAACCACAGAATTGAGAATGGTGAGACCACCAGAGCCAAAATCCTGCCAATCAATGAAAGGTGTTGGCCTTACCCCAACTGCGGATTATGCAGGACACTCGTTCTTGCAGGATGGCATTTTGGGCTTCCGAACATAGTCTTCTAGCGCTACTTGGACACCAAGATAGCGTTCTGCCATTTCTTCTAGTGCCACTTGGACACCAAGATAGCATTCTGCCATTCCATCAGGCACCCTCCACATGCCCCACTCCACATGCAGTTCGAATTCTTTAGGCAGGAAGTACACTGATTTACTCCAGTTCACAGCGGCTTCAGAGAGTTCGGCATATCTGGACCGACAATTCCTCAAGGCTTCCAAGGATATCTGTGTGTTTGCTGAGGTGGCCAGCAGGTCGTCGGCAAATGCCTTCATCCGGCTTTTTCTCCCTGAGCGTAGCTTCAAGCCCTCCAGCAGCGGTGTCTCAGGGATCTTGAAAGCTTGAACTGATGGGCGTTCACCTGCACCACTGCCGTTGCAAAGAAGTGCAGAGCTTTGACCCAGCTGCAAAAGGCTTCTCCAAAGTTCATTGCCCTCAGCGTTGTCAGCACAATTGCCTAGTTGACCCTGTCATATGCCTTTTCAAGGTCCAGCATTAACACCGCCACATCCATCTTGTTTTCCTCAACCAGTTCCAAGGTTTCTATTGCAGTGGCCAGGTTGTCGAAGATTGACCTGCCTCCCATGAATGCGCCTTGGTCCAGTCCTCTTTGCAAGGGTCTTCGCCAGCAGCTTGTAGGAGAAGTGAAGTAGCGTTATCGGGCACCAATTCCTGATATCAGTCCTGTCGCCCTTTTTATATAGCAGTGTAATCACTCCTCTCGCCATTGAATCGCCCAAACGCCCATCGCTTGTGATCTCGTTGAATACTTCTGTGAGGTCTTGTACCAGGTAGCTCCAACATGTTGTAAAGAATTCCTTCGCCAGTCCGTCATCTCCCGGTGCCTTGGCGTTAGCTGTCGACTTGAGAGTCTTTGTCAGTTCTTCTGTTGTAATGGCCGCTTCCAATTGGGACTTTGCCTCCGATGATAGAGCAACTCCTAGATTGTCTCACAGGTCCGAGTGGGATGTCAGATTGGTATCTGGATCCTTGTACAGCGCCCTGGGTGGTGAATATGTCCTTGAAGTAGGTCGCTTCATACTCGCACATTTCGTTGGTCATCACAGCTGGGTGGAGGGCTGGTAATTGAGGGTGTTTTAGTTCCTTCATCTGCACTGCTCTCTGTTTTGGAAGAAGTTTCTGAAAGGACTCCTTGTTCAGTCTGTCCCCCGTACTTCTCTGTGAGGATCTGCTCCCAACTCGTCTGTTTTTCTATCTGAAGCCACTCCCAATTTTTCAGTCTCAGGATTCGTCTGCTTACACATACTCTGAGATCGGGTGCTCATCCATCCGTGCTTCCGCCGCTTCCACCTTTCGCCAACAGTCCATCTCTTCCTTGTTCCTTAAAATACACTCCAATCCCTGAGAACACTTCGAGGTTACTAGAAATAACCTGAATCCCGGTATCCAGCCAAGCAGCTGTGGTATGAAAGTAGACCTTGGCGGCTTCCCAGCTCTGCCAGAATGATTCGATCCACTGTTGGATCCGCACGGTGTTTAACCTGAAGCAGCCAGGTCCCTTGTCAGAGAGCTCTCACGTCTTGATTGTTAAGAGGACCAGCTTGTGGTCCGACATTGGCGCATTCTGTTCCTTGTCAAGTAGCACGTTGCTGTTCAATCCTTCTCCAGTCAGAAAGTAATCGAGGCTGCGCTTCACTCTGGCGGACTGTGCTGCGTTGCCGAACCAGGTATATCCTGGTTGACAGGTATTGATTTTCCTATATGAATCGTGCAGCTCCCATTCCTCCATCCAGGTAAGGAGTCTTATGCCTGTCTCGTTTCATGGTCTCTGCTTGCTCTGAGTCCAAGCCTGGTTCTCTAACCATATTCGCATCGCCACCCATAATGAGATACTTGGAGTGGGGTAGCTTTCGAGAAAGCATTTTCAAAAACTCGATTCTACTTTCGAGAAAGCATTTTCACAAACTCGATTCTACTTTTGAGAAAGCATTTTCACAAACTCGACTCTATCCAGTGGATCATTTGGAGCATGCACTGTGGCTGTGACCCAGTCTTCCTCCCCTACCACCAATTTTACCCAACTCCACGTTCCCCACCGTTCATTATCACAGTCTAGTACCTCCATTTCTAGCCGCTGGTGAATCAGGACTGCCAAGCCTCCTTTGCTGCCCCGGGCAGGAGACCAGAGCTGTGGTCCTATCCACCAATCTGCTAACCTCCCCTGTTTGTCCTCTGATAGTTTTGTCTCCGGGATCAACGCTATATCCATGTTCCGTTTGTGAATCCAGGTCTTTAGTCTGCGCCCCTTTTGCTTCCCACCGGAGTCTCCCAACCCTCGGACATTCCAGGTTGCGATTTTAAGCTTCCCTATGTAGTCCCGGCGTGACAACGGACGATTGGATTTGTCCTTGGTTGAACAGTGAATCCGGCCACCTGTCGCTCAAGAGTTCCACGAAGTATGTCGAACTCAGATTCCTTCGTTTCTGAAGTTCCCCGTCCAGTGTGCAGAGAAGCGCAGCTGATTGGTTTAGTTCCAGGGCCACTCTGCTCAATTCCTGTTACATGCTGCGCCTGCACATGAGGGCCAATTTCCAGGCCCTGCGTCCCTCAGGCTGAAAGCCTGAAAACCAGGGCCTACAGGCCCCGTGGCTGTTTCAGCCTGACAGCCTGAAAACCAGGGCCTACAGGCCCCGTG